TGTTGTTGAGTAAGGCATCGACCAGGTAGACTATCTCGGGGTGATTGAGATTATCCGCCAGTGTTGGCAGATTAGTAAAAATTAACTGATGGGCATCGACATTCTGTTGATCAGCGATTAATTGTTTTACGCTTGAGGACAAAACATCAATGTCGGCTACAGTTTCAGCCTGGTGAGATCTATGACTGTGATAGTCGTCGCTCAGTTGTTGAAAGGCTTCGTCTAAAGCTCGAATTTCCGTTCCGGGATTAGTTTCCTCAGCGTCAGCTCTGGCTGGTGATGAAAAACTCACTACCAGCCACAAAAAAGCCAATGCTAATACTTTGACAAGCCTGTTAATTGTGCTGGAGTTTGTCATCCTGAACCGATTTAGAAAATGCTGTAGACAAATTTGCCGTCGTCATCGACACCCACATGGATTTTTTCGATGGCTTCGTTTTTGGCTAGTCTCGACAGACATTCCATGGCCAGCTCCGGCAACATGGTTCGGGTGAGAATGTTTTCTATATTCCTGGCACCGGTATCAACCTCCTGACTGCGTGCGACGATGTGTAACATGACATCGTCGCTGTAACTGAACGCTGCGCCGTAGTGTTCGTGCACTCGTTTTTCGATGCGATTCATATTGATTTTAGAAATTGCCAGTAAGTCTTCGTCACCCAATGGATAATAGGGAATTAGCGTCGCACGCCCGAGAAAAGCCGGTTTGAAGTAATTCAATAATTGTGGCCTGAAGTTGTCGAGTAATACCTCTGGATCTGGCCGTTCTTCAGATTGAGCGCAGATGGCGCGTATATGTTCCTCACCAGCGTTTGAAGTCATGATGATTATGGTATTGCGGAAATCGATATCACGGCCTTCGCCATCCTTAATCGTACCCTTGTCGAACAGGTTGTAGAAAATATCCTGCACGCCGGGATGGGCTTTCTCCATTTCATCGAGTAGGACGATACTATAAGGTTTGCGCCGAACGGCTTCGGTTAAAACGCCACCTTCACCGTAACCGACGTAACCGGGTGGTGAACCCAGTAGCATCGAGACTTTGTGTTCTTCCTTGAATTCCGACATGTTAATGGTCGTGACATTGTGTTCTCCGCCATAAAGAACATCGGCAAGTGCCAGCGCCGATTCGGTCTTGCCAACACCGCTGGAACCAACCATGAAAAACACACCGATGGGTTTGCGCGGATCGGTAAGCCCGGCGCGCGAGGTACGAATACTTTGTGCGATG